ATCAATTTTTATACCAAATCTGTTGTACTTTTTAATGGCTTCTTCTCCAATGGCACTGAAGAGTATCGATACTTTTCTAGGTTCTTGGTCGAGCGGCCAGGTATCCATTTTTGTGGCTTTGCAATAATTACGCCATGAGGATTCAAACATGCAAAACGATTCATCCGGATCATTATTGACGTCCAGATGTGTTGGCCACGGTATATGCAAGTTATTAGTAGCGCCAGTATCATTATTTTTGATGGCTAACATTTGTAACTGTTGCTGAAGCGCCAGCAGAATTTGCGACTGTTGCTGTAGTACATCTTCGAGCGTAGTGGACATGATTACAGATTTTTTAGATAACTTTGTTTTCTAAAAGAATCACCGCTGCCACCATGTTAAAATAAATGCATTTACAAATGACGAATGAGCTTCTTCTTCTTCTTCTTTTTTAATTCATGGCCTATTTGCATTTACACAATTCCGCCAATGTCACGTTTGTGGTCTTTACACGTATAGAAACAATAATAAAATATGTAAAATTTTGAATTTAAATAAAATAAAAAAAATAGCTCTGAGCGCGTCTATCTGATTACATTGTTAAAGATAATACAAATAGAATGTATATAGAAAACAAATATATTTATAAATTAAGATTATTATTGATTGCAAAGAATTTTGCTAAAATTTTGAATGGGCTGGGATTCTCCATACTCAAGATACATTTTATATTTGTTGGACGTGGAACTTTTGATGGTAGCAAATCATAAAGCGAAATGGATAAATTTGAACAATTAAATAAAATATGATCCGTAGTTCCTTCCTCAATGCCACAATCGCAGAGGGGGTTGTCTTTAATTTTAAATTTGGCAAGTCGAACCGGCGTACACACATGTCCAATTCTCAGGCGACAAATAATTGAAATCGTTTTTTTACTTAAAAGCTTTTCCTTAAAAAACCAGGGAGTACTGGGGATAGTTCTCTGAATTTCAAAATAATACTTTCCCGCTCTATTTCTAGTATTTTCCCAATCAACATTCCATGACCTCATTAAATGTTCATGTGCTAGTACAAAGAGATCGTGATGAAAAAGTTTGGAATATTTTAAAGAGCCAGTTATAACAGCTTGCTTAGCACATGCATCAGCTGTCTCGTTCCCAGGAATACCACAGTGTCCCGGACGAATGAGCTTTTATTTTATTTAAAATCTTTCATTACATAAAAACATAGAATAGCGCGAATTAGTCTCTGACAAAGATTATACAGCCAACAGTATGTTTGGATCCTTTTTGATATATTTAGGTTTTAATTATATTACTCTTACAAAAAACGATCCAGATAAAGAAATAATAGAATAATTAACTGTAACACCAAAACTTAATCGTAAAAACTTCTTCTTCTTTTATTAATGGCTTATCTGTGCATTTCGCACAATTCTGCCAAAGTCAAGTGAATAAATTAATTTTCAATGCAGTTGCTCATAAAGCGCTAATTTTTTAATCCATTGTAAACACCGAAAGTGAGTCTTTAAACACGTATTAAATAAAAATTTACTAAAATCCTTTACTGCACACGTGCTTAAAGAAATTTAATATGAATATAAAAAACTGAAATTTGAAAAGTTCTAAACTTAAGCTGGAAACAAATTATCGGACGCGGCTGACGGACGCGACTGACAGCCGCGACTTATAAGTTTGCACAGTCTTCAAGGACGAACTGTTGACGAAGAAACATGTCGAGTAGTGAAAGTGAGAACGAATTTTTCGAATTAGCGGCAGCAGCTTTATGTTGTCCAGCCAAAAAAATAAAAAGAAGTACGTCCGTTTGGGTCCATGACATTAATAAAGAAAAAACGGAGTGTGGTGAATTTCACACTTTGTATACACAATAGGGATGATGACTAATTTTTGTTTGTTTGTCCGTCAGGTAGAGTGTTAAAAAATATTAAACACGTATTTTTTTATTTTTTTCGAATCATAAAATTACGGCGTTACATTGAGTTGAAATTTCGCATGACGTCACGTTAGAGTACGTTTTCTACTCAACTGTGACGTAGCGAGCCCCCACTCCTTAACTTTAATGCCTGTTATCTATACTATGGGCGCTTGTGCACTACACTGAATTTTCAGGTCCAGCGGTCCGATTTTTTCCGGTCCGGAATGACATGAAAAACTCGGATGAGTAGCTTGTGCACTTGTCCGTTTTTTTCTTGATCGGAGCGGCGCAGTGTAGGGCAGCTCTCTTTGAAGCTACACGTCACTTACGCTAGATACGATGAGATTGTTGGAACGTCGGTAATTCCGTTCGAAGACGTAGAAAGGTACCTAAATAATGATCTGATCGTTTTAAGACGAAAGCATTTTTTTTACTACTATCGGATGACTACTATCAGATGTAAAAACTTATACCCTTACTAATTTAGGAACAGCATTATTCACATAAAATAGCTAAAAATATCTGTGACATTAGAATAAAATTACTGATAATGGTCTAGTACTTTATGTTTAAATTTTTACGCGTGCTATTTTTTTCGAAGTTTTGTAAAAACAACTTTCAGCGATTACAGAGATATACCAATCGGTGGCGCCATTTCGTAAACAAATCGAAATAAGTGCCGTGTTAGCGGAGAATTATTATGCTAAATGAACTACGAGATCAGTTGACTGTATTATATATATAGGCATAATTTTATACGCGTGGTGTAGTTTCTTTGAGCAGATATATTATTCCCTTAGAATACTTATTTTTTAAAATTTATAATGACACAAACATACATTAAAAATTGTATTAAATGCGAAAAAAACATTGAGTGTCACTTAATTACTTTTGTTAATCTTCTGTTTATTCTTTATTATTACTTCTGTTGTCAAATATTTATCTATACTTATCAATTGTCTAAAAAAAATTAGATAATAACAAATTTCCAGGCAAACTTTCATCCCTTATTTTTCGCGATAAAATGTAGCCTATGTCCTTTCTTAAAGTTAAGTCTATTTACTATATTAATTTCCATTTAGATGGGTTCAGTTGTTTAGGCGTCTAAGCGTAACAACACTTATTTATCTTACCTTAAGTTATCGATACTTTTAATACGATTCTAAAATCTAGCTAAGTATCGATACTAGAACCATACGCTGATCAAATTAGAACTATACCGAGTTTGCCAAAGCATATGCAGTGATATAATCCAACTATATTAAATCATCATATAAAATATAGCATTTTATAATCAACAATAAATATCGATTATAAGTTTATTGGAAATTAATAATTTTGCCGAAATAAATATCGATTCAAATCGATTATTTTTTCCCAAGCCTATTCCTTATGAATTTTCCGGATCTCGGACACAGCAGTGCACAAGCGTAAACACGTTTTTCATTGCCGCCATCACGGAACTGAAAAAACCGGTCCGGAATAGAGAAAAGTAAAATTCCGGACGGTAAAATTCCTGACAGTGCACAAGCGCGCATTACCTACATATGGTCTGACATATCGGACCTGAAAAAATCGGACCGCCGGACATGAAAATTCGGTGTAGTGCACAAGCGCCCTATTTCTTGTTAAATTGAAGTAAAAAAAAAAATACGTAGGTATCTAATATTTTTCAATTATCTGACTGACGGACTAAATAGAATTGCATTTTTTTTACCCAGTCATCATCCCTATTTTAAGAGATGAATGTCGCTATAAACTTCATTTGAGAATGAATGAGGATCAATTTATTTTTTTGCTAAATCTAATCGAAAACGACATTGAAAAACAATCAACACAGTTTCGTGCTCATATATGTTTTTTTTTAACATTTTTATAATCCTTCAATTTAGGATTATAAAGTAATTTTTTGTTGCGAACACATTATATAATTCGTTCCTCCATTTTTAACGCACGTGGACACGTGGAATCTCTCGCGTCGTCAGCGTCCTTCTGATGCAAGGACGCGTCCCGCACCCCGTGCATACCGTCCGCGGACGTTTTCGGCTGATAAAAACATCCAGCGAGCCAGATTTCTGTCGGAAGTCCGAAGGCTGAAGGTCAGCCCAAGGTTACGTCCACGACTTACATCCGATAGTCTGAACAGCTTATTGTACATTCATTACCTAGATGCCAATAAGTCGCGACTGACAGCTGCGTCCGTCAGCCGCGTCCGATAATTTGTTTCCAGCTTTAGATATCAATACAAATACGAAAAAGTTCAAATAGAATATGAGTTGTAGCAAACCGTATGTATTTGGTACTGAGTAACGGGTGCGCCGTCTAGTACCGAGTAACGAAACGTTACTCACGAATGCATTTCGTTACTCGCATTTTTTGTATGTACCCCATACTGTTTCAGTTTACGTACTAGTGCCGATGATGCATGTGTTGAAACGTTTGTTGATGGTATGTTTTACGTTCTCTGTCTACCGATATTATGCATGCGCCCATTGCGCGCGCTTATTCGAGGAGTTTAAAGTGTACGTTATAAAAAACGATGTTTGTTAAAGAATAATTTGGAAATTAGTCATCCAAGTATTTTACTGTTGAGTAAAAGTATTGTGTGTGTATACAAAGTTTTATTTTGGTACAGAAACAAGGTAAGAAAGTATTAATTACAGAATAGAAATAGGTATATGTTTTGATTTATGATTATCGCGTATTTTCTTTTTTTTAATTCTTATCCTTTAAGAGTTATTCTTATTATGATTGAGACAATTGAGTTTTAACTATTTATTGCATGAGGCAATATCTAGAAGAACGCATTATTTTTTATACCCCGAACTTTCAAACATGTCTGAGAAATATTTATCAGTGATGATACTACCTCGGTACCATCTGAAAGGATTTTTTCCAAATCGGTCCAAATATTAAATGAGAGTTAGAATATCGTTTTCGTACTGGATATTTTGTATCGATATTTCGATACATCGGATCCAAATATATCGGTTAAAAATATCGAATTCACAATATCAAAGTATCGATACATTTATACTTTTTCTGCAAGCCTAATTAACTACACTACATATGTCACATATTTGTCATTGTCAATTTGTCGTTTTGTTGCATTTTTTATGGTTTTTCTCTGAATGTAGCCAATTGAAACCGCTACATTTATTATAATAGCAATTTATTTTCACAAATTCATCCAATGAATAAGTGAAATAACTTTACTGCAAAATGAATAAACAAAGTGGAAATGTGTTTATTTATCGACTAAAATTTTAAAGTATCATGCCTTGTGGATTTAGCAACTTTTAATTTAAAAACTGTTGTTTCTTTCTTTTCACTATGGAGTCATCTTTAGGCACTGATTCTCAAGATTCAGATGATCTTGTCCCGCCGGGTCTATCAGCTTCCGAATATGATAAAGTATGTACCGAATTTTATTAGTATAAAACATTTTGATAGTAGAATGTAGAAATGAAAGGAAAAAACAATCTATTTATTTTAATTGCAATATCTAGATAATATTGTTTATTGTTTACACAATATTAAAATTGAAATATTCAGTTCTCATCACTTTTATATAAATAATATATATTGTATCTGTGTAATCTTATTTTCCAACCTTTAACCTTTATTTTCCAGTCCAAAATTACTATGCCGAAACAAAACACCATTGCGACGCCTAAGTCAAATCAAAGCCCAAGTTCCAGTATATTGACCACAAAAGGCATTCAGAATGCTAAGAAGAGACTTCGAGCATTCTCGATTCAGAAGAAAACACCAATAGCAACAGTGTCTGTACCAAAACCTGTGAGCACTGGCAGTATGTATGAAAAGATTAGTTCATAGCTATTTAATTTTCTATGTTCAAGATACATTATTTCGTACATACAATAATGCATCAAATTTAATACTTATATTGGATTATTAAAAAATATGGAAATGTTCTCAACATTGAAGTGTATAAGTCCTGTAAATTGCCACATATAAAAATGAAAATATAAAGTATAGATATTCCAAAGACAAAAGATAAATTATTAAAATATTTATTAATAATCCACAAAATATTATTATAATAATTTAGTATATTGCATGCAACAGTAATTTGCATGGATTTTATCAGCACTGAGGAAAAATGAGTAGAAATTTTTTGTTGAATATTCTTTTCTTTTAATTTTTTATTTTATTGTATAGAGCACAATAAAAAATTTGGTTGATTGCATGATATTTTCATTACTTAAATTGATAATTTCTCTATTGCATAATATTATTACTGGTATAATTTTCATCATTTTAGTGCCATAATCATATTCATATAACACATGTTGATTTTCCAATGCTGTATGTAGTTGAAATTTTTCCTAGGTGCTACTGTGTTGATTGGCAAACTGAGTAGTGTAAAGACAACACCTAAACCGGAGAAGGAGCTTGATGCTGAAAAGAAACCACCCAAGCCCCCAAAGCCAGGTGCTGGTAGAAAGAGTTTTCAAGGTAGGTTCTGGATATTTTTGTTATGCTCCTTAACCTTATTTAAGTAATTTGTTATTATTTTTTGAGAATATTCATGTTTTGATAAGGATGTAAAACTATTTTATTGAAAAAGAAACAATTTTAGTTAAAGTTTCATTCTTGTTTATTTTTTCATTATTATTGTATAATTGAAAAAAATACATTAAAATTTGTTTCTCCTTTGTATTGTATACGAACGGACAGATCTGGGAAAGTTCGTATCTGTGAACAGTAGATCTGGTCGCTGCAATACAAGACTAACTTAGCACAGGGCTGTTAGAAATAAGTGTCATGTTGTTATTTTTATGGTAATTAAGAATATTATTATTTATAATGGCTAGGCCGAGTTATGCCATTTTTTGTCTTTTGATTACAAGGTTTTGTAATCAATGTGAGTGATGATTTTTGTTTCCATTTCCAGACTCTTACAGTAACTTGCAAAAGCGAACACTTGCCGAAATCGAAGATATAAAGCGCAAAATGGAGCTAGTTGACCTGGGCATACCACTGGGGCTGATATGTCCCAGTGCGACCAGCGAACAGGCCATGCCCACTAAGGCAATGCCTCCAATCAAGTCATTCTTAGGTATGATACAAACATTATTTTAACTTACTCCTTTGACTCCTTACTCCTGACATTTATTATTATTCAATTAGTAAAAAAAAAATGAATATCTGATGAATTTGCCATGAGTCTCAAATGCTATAGTTATGCCACTGGTTTGTCGCTATCTCTGAGGTTCCAGGTTAGAATCCTGGTATAGGCCAATATAGAAAAAATATTTTTTCTTTATTGTTTTGGGTCTGGAAGTTGTGCTACCTTTGTTATTAAAACAAGTATTACTCTGATCGAGGGACAACCAATCATATTCCATCAAAAAATTCTATGCCTACGGTTAGATTAAGTGTTCTGAATTAAAATTAAAGTGGTCTTTCTCACTTTAGCATAATCCTAGGAAACAATAATTGAGATGGCTAAGTTAAAAATAAAAATAAAAACTATTATTTATTGGTTGTGTGTGCCAGGAACATATTTCAGTACCATATAGTTGTCTAGAAGTATACATATAACATATATTTTTTTCATCCAAGAATTGATTCAGGGATGTTCAAGACTTTAACCCACTTAGATTAATAAAAGTAGAATAAAAAATGTTTGCTTTAATAAAATTAAACAAAAATATACTTTTTTTAGTACATCACTCTTTTAATTAAGTAATTAGATATATGTACATATGTTCTAGTTTTACACTGTAGCAAAAGTTAAGATAATTTTAAGCATTATTATAAAATCTCCAATAGGTTATTCTACTCTGAAGAATTACTTGTAAACATTTATTTTCACAAAAAAATCAGAATAAACATGTTTTCTGCTCTTGAAATTAAACTCATGACGTCATTTCTATATATGTACAAAATAGGCGCCTAAGACAAGAATAGTGCCATCTAACGAATTTGCTAAAAATAAAAAAATATATTTCCATCTTTAGAATAGCGTCATCTAGGCATCTGTTGTAAAAATAAGTAACCAGCCTTTTACAACTAATCTGACAGATTCAGAAATGTTTCTGCCTATATGACGTCACACCATGGCGAGTCGTGTTTCAGTTCGTGCGAACCCGACTTTTCATTTGACACTTGCAATGTTATGACTCACAATCTGAATATGATGTTTATTTCAATGGACATTTTTGTATGAAAGTACCGTATTTTTTGAACTACCTTGCTATTTGGTTTGCTTCAATTGCTTGTATGTAAAGCGCGCAGCTTCCGAGTTTATCGCTCCGAAGTGCGTGCGCATGTTTCAAGAAACAAGAAGAAGCACTCAAAAAGCAAGCGCAAGCATAAACAGAAGCGTGTGCGTAGAGGTGACAGTACTCGTAAGTCAAGGGCCATATTCAATGGTAAAATTGTAGTTTGAAAGCCATTTTTCAGCAGTTCATACATTTAATCGTACAGATGGCAATCGGTATTAAATTACAGTGTTAATACTCCAGTAATATATTCAACATATTTTAATTAGATGATAATTTTTTACTTAAGTCTTTCATTTTAAGTGCAATTGTTAGTATTAATTTAAGAAAATCTACAAAAAACTATTGCTGAAAAATGTTAAGTACTTAGTAAAAGGGATTCGTTTTATTAATCAGTAGTTATAAGGTAATATTTAAAATGCAATCGCTAAGGTAGTCCTAAAACTTATTTAATACTAATGTTATTTGATCAATTGATGAAAGGAGATATCCCAAATCTATTTGATTTTATATTTATTTAGTTTTATTCCGGCTAAATTTATAAATACCGATACGATGTACTTGGCCCGCATTGGGGTATCTTCTTTGATGAAATTACTATTTGGTACAGTAAGATACAGGTAATATGGTTGGCAATGTCAGCAGACAATAGCAGAGAGCTACAAATGGGCCAAATGTTGATCAATCAAAATGATGGCAGCCGAGTATGTTTAGATGGACAATTAATAGACAATCGTTGTATTTTGCACCTTATTGTTTTGCAACAAGGCTCAGATTATAATATTCGGTAATCGTTGGAATTTAAAGCTCTGCAAATGAAGAATCACTACACGCAATGTTAGATGAATCTTACTATACTGATTTCTGTTGGGTTTATTTTGATAAGTGTAGCTGTTGTAGATTTTACTGTTAGTAAGTTATATACACTACATATTACCCCTTCCTATATGGTATATAGTCGTAGTTAGATTAATAAGGTATTTTAAATATCTTTGATTTTTTTATAAATCATTCAACTACTTTTAATTTTCATAAAAATTAATAGTTTTCATGTTTAAACAGATCCTGCTAAAGTGGATGAGCTGATTCGAGAAGCAAAAAAAGCGAGAGCTGCCGGTAAGGAGTATAAATTTGATTATCAAAAACTCTTGCCTGATTACGATAATCCTTTCCAACGTAAAAAAGATGATCCCGCTTATATCGAAAAAGACAAGAAAGAGGAAGAATATCAATGTAGTTACAGAGCAGAAAGAAGAGATGAAAGGACAGATAGAAGAAAGAGCGATAAATATGACAAGAGATCGTCTAATTATGATAAGCCTGAAAGAAAGAATGATAGAGAAAAAGACAAATATAGAGATGACAAAGAAAAGCATAGAGATGACAAAGAAAAGTATAGAGATGACAAAGAAAAGTATAGTGATGACAAAGAAAAGTATAGAGAAGATAAAGAAAAGTATAGAGAAGATAAAGAAAAGTATAGAGAAGATAAAGAAAAGTATAAGAAGGGAAAGGAAGAATCAAATAAAGTCGACGGAAAAATAGGCCGTAAAGAAACTGATGTTAATCTTAGTGAATATTTAATCTGCGATAGTTGGTCTTTAGATAATGATGATAAAAGCAATTCTAGTCCTCGTGTTGATAAAGGCAAAGTTTCAATAAGAGATAAATCAAAAGAACCAATGGAGATTCTGAAAGAGAACTTCAAAAAGAAAACAAAATCAGTTGATAGTCCAGTCAATAAGCCCAAAATGGAGAGATTGAAGCCAGTGATCGATGCTTTCAAATACGATATAGATCCTAATGAAGAAGAAGACGCTTTGGAGCTACTGGATGAAGATTCTTCAATTGAAAAGTATTCTAAACCGGAGTCAAGTAAAAAGAGTCTTTATGACTCACCAATCGACTTAAAGCTTTTCGAATATGATCAAGATATGTCTAAAGATTGCGTGATTGATGCAAATGATGATAATTTCTTAGAGTCAGTAATAAACGAGATAAAGCAGGAGAATATGAGTGACGACACAAGCCAAGACAATAGGACGGGTTTGGTTGAATATGACTCTCCTAAGGAAGACGATGATGACTTTAAAATGGACACTAGTCAGGGATCAGTTACTCCAGAATTGGATGACAGGATGAGGGATTTGCAATCAAGTCAACAGAGTCACTATTCTGATGGATACAGGTCTGTCGAAAGTGGCTATAAGTCGACAGAGAGCGGTTACAAGTCGGAACGTGATTATAAACCTGATGACAGTAGACATTCAGATAACTTTAGGTTGTCTGTGGAAAAAGAGCTTGATGACGCTCTCGAACGAAAGATGTCCAGGAGTACTGTAGACTCTTTGGAGACTTGGAGCTTCGTTTTGAAGATATGCCAGCCTCTACTCTTCAGACATGACAAAAATAAATGTTACAAGTGAGTTTATATATTACTCGTAATAATTAACATTACACCTGAAATTTCCATGTAAAAGATTCTATATGTGCTCGAACGTAAATTAGGAAAATTTAGTTGACAACTTTTTTTATAAATAAATATTCCATTAATATCTGAGAAATAATGTAGAAGTAACATAATTTGTGAAAGTGCTACCAGTTGGTCTTTAACACTTCCTATAATTTTTAGGCACAGTGACGTCACACAGTGCTACTGTAGTTAAAAACGTATGGGAGTCTGCGCAATCTTTATAATATCTTTGTTATTTGTTTATAGCTGTTATAATGAAAGTTAAAGTTAATAACATTTTAGGTAATTAATTTAATGCCATATGTATTTTAACAAATTATTGTAGTATATTTTCCCAATTATTACCAAGTTTTCAAAACGTACTATTTTCCAAATTAGTGTTATAAAATTTATTTTGTTAAATATTTTACATATAATAGAAATTTGTATTTTTACTTGTAGGACACAAGCCTATTTTCTTAATATCATATCCTTGAAGATTATCTGTGCATAAGAAGCAGATTCACGACCTACCTCCGTTGTAGGTATCATAAACTATCGAAAAAAGCGTTTCTTTGGAGTCTCATTAGCATTTCAAAAATAGATGAAATTTTGTGTATGTTGAATTAAAACAAAAAAACTTTCAGGTGTCATGTTAATTCGGACGAATAGTTGTTTATATTTTGATATTGTTTTACATTTGTTTATGAAATTAAGAGAAGGATACAGCAAAGGTATAAGATTTTATCCTGGTTGTATTGTTCTTGCAATTTTTTATTTCTTTCTTATAAAATAACAACCTGTTTAATAAATATTACTAGGGTCGCTGTATATCTGATGGAAGTTGGGTCGCATCGTGTCGGTCGACAAACGTCAGAACTGATAAATATATGATACTAGCTTTCCGCTAGCGGCTTCGCCTGCATGGTCTTGTATTATACATAAAAACCTTCCTTTTGAATCACCCTATTTACTAAAAAAAACCGCATCATAATCCTTTGTGTAGTTTTAAAAATTTAAGCAAACTTAGGGGTATAGGGACAGAGAAAGCGACTTTGTTTTATACTATGTAGTGATGATATTCATCATTCCGCATTGGGCATGCGTGGTGGGTCATGGCCCATTCTCCGTTGATGATTCAACATTGAACTCTACGAATAATTTGACGTGTACTAACGTATATGCATAAGACGGTTCTTTAAAAATATTAGCTTTATAGCTCGTGCATGATGTAGCTCCTCTCATTTGTAAGAAATTTTAAATCGGTTCAGTAGCTTCGAAGCCTACTCAATGCAAGCAAACAATTAAAACTTTCCTCTTGGTAATATTAGTATAGACTATTTTATGCTTCATAAAGTAGGTATTTAGTTATAGTTCACGTTAATTCAATTTAACTTTAGCGGGCCACGTGATGACTTGTGATCGGATATTTAAGTTAGGACCAATGTAATTTCACTTTGAGCCCATCAACATAAAATAAAAATTTAATACTTATAAGTAAATATTAGCTCGGAGTAGCTCGGTGGCGTAGTGGATAAGCGCCGCGGCCCGCGATCGTAGTCGTTAAGCAACTTTCGCAAGGGTCGGTCACGGGATGGGTGACCAAAAAAATATTATTTCGAGCTACTCCGTGCTTCGGAAGGCACGTTAAGCCGTTGGTCCCGGCTGCATTTGCAGTCGTTAATACCCTCCAATCCGCATTGGGCCAGCGTGGAGGGTCATGGCCCATCCTCCTTAACCATCCATAAGGAAGGCCTGAGCCCCTGCAGTGGGGACGTAAAAGGGCTGGTGATTGAAGTAAATATTGCAAATGACAAATATATATCAAAATTTTTGTATATGCTCTGTTCATCCTATGTTTTTTTCATAGGCAACGCCTGTGTTCTAACAATGGTATTCATAAAAAGGTTGATTTCATGAAGAACATTTTGGTAATACCCAATAATCATTAATTGGTATTAATTTTCAGGGAGACCCACACTTCACCAAAGTTGTGGTATACTATCAACCCGAAGAGATGCAATTGTGTAAAGGATCGTTCTGTTGTATATGAGGAATTGGAGATGTGTAAAATGACACTGGTGGATCGATTGTACGGCTGCGATCAGTGAGTTATTCAACATTATGTAACATTTGTTATAAGCAATAATCTGGAGGTCATTGATCTGAAATGTATACATTAATATGGACATGCCTTTGTAATTCTTTGATTATCTAAATTATTTCTTCGAAGTTAAATAGGATTTTTTTTTATTTCAAAGCATAAAATAGGATCTGATAACAATAGGTTAAATACTTAATTTAGTTTTTAATACCTTGCTTTCAATTTTGAACTAATCAGCATTAATATCATACAAAAATAAACAGTTGAATCCAGAAACACTTCTGAAACATATCTATGTTATTCTTTCTATCGAGAATTTTTGATTAAGTACCAAAAATAATTAGAAACATTATTCTATATAAAATAATACATAATATAGAAAAAAATATCGCCAAAACGCGCGCTTCAATACGGCCAATGTAAAATATGAAATACCTTTTGTTTTAATTACTTATAATAATGAAATTTTCTACTTATCTTAAGCGATCTATAAACCACGCCTAATGCTTATACCCGAAAGCCGATAAAAAGAGAACCTTATATGCATCTCCCGTTGTTGAAATCCCGCAATGATTGTGTGTTAGGATATCGGAGGCTTGGTCGTCGTCGTCCCGGGCGTGGTACCCGCGCGTGGGATGTATGGCGGCGGCGGTGCCCGTGCCCGTCTCCACCGACTGGGAGACCGACGAGCCCCCACGGTCCACCACGCCTCAACACCAGGACGTCACCCTCCACAGGGAGTACCAGAGGTGTCCACTCTCTTTGATATAACGACAATTTGAATTTAACCAATAGGTGCAACTGCATGAAATGTATTATTATACATATCAATTTTTTTTCAACTTTCAAAAAAAAAAAATAATAAGCATAAGATGATCATGTTATGTCGACTTAAAATCAGATTGCTTATGTTTGCTGCAGAGTGAATTTTACAACTTAATTTTCTCTAACAAAACTGAATAGTTTTGGTTTTTAAGGAAATTGAATGTTTAGGAGTTTAATCGTCATAATAATTTGTTCGTAATATAATGCCAAAGTCCATCACGAAGTGTTATATCTATTAGAGATAAATTCAGATAATAAATATTTACACAGGTTCATAGAATCGGTATGGCCCGAAGTAGCTGAGCCTACTGAGCAACCCCGGAGCACTACTCCCGACAAGTCTGGTAGACAGGACAGTAGAAAAAAGAAGAAGGTAGAAGATGTCGAGAAGGAGGCGGAGGAAAAGAAGAAAGCAAAGAAAATTAAGCTAAGCAGTGAAGGTTGGAGTCAGGAGTCTGATGTGGAGGAAGAAGTAGAAAAGACGTAAGTAAAATTTGTTTTTTATAGGTTTTTTTTTAAGTTTACAACAACGAATAATAAAAAAATAATTTCGAAATCGAACTAGATGTTGCTACGTACTTTAATATTTTGCAACGATCAACCAAATTGTCTTTGATATATATTCCTATTTCTGATCTAATTAAAGTATATAAGGTTTCGATAATTAGTAAGTGTATTAGTCTATTTTCAGGTGTTCTGTGTTTCTTTTATTATAAAAGTTTTGGAAATTAAATTTATTTGAACTGTGTATTCAGTTATATTATATAATATTACGTGTATAGGACCGCAAATCACTGTCTTTGGTCTTTTTGTTGTTTCCGATTAAGAATTGTGTGATACTATATCGCCATCTAGCGACTTTCATAATAACCTCGCAATATAATAAAATATTTAATACTAGCTTAGGGCATTATTTAGTGTGATAGAAAGTAGCGTATATGTTAATCCGAGCTGAGAGTTATTCATATACCAAATTTCATCAAAATCTGTTCATTAGTTTTTGCGTGATAACAAACATCCAAACCTACAAAATTTCTTATTTATAAGATGGTGCGAAAGTGACAATGTAATTTGTGATTTATGTAATATATAGTGTTGATAGTGTTGTTTATTAAAGTTATGGGTGTTATGTCATAATAAAGTTTATTTTTATGCTGCATACAAGGAGAGAAGAGAATACGTATACTGTATCGGACGAACTGTTTGAATTCAGCCCATCACCTATAGATTCTGACATGAAATGGTAATGCGACAATAGCATGTTTTTTTTGTTATGTTAATGTTTTTTCCTTTTGAAATGATTAGTATGTTTTTGTATATATGAAGACATCTGTTATTAGAGTGGAATATTTGTATCTATAGCAACCAATTTTATACTCTGATTTTAATTAGACGGACTGATATTATAATTTTTATTTTCTTTTAATGTTGCAAGCCTTCGTTTTAGTTTTTCGACATAGCTCTTTTAAATGATTAATCCGTTCTGTGATATGAGCCATTAAGTGTTTTATTAAGTCAGAAAATACACACTTCTTAAGGAATTTCAAAAAGAAAATTAATTTTGCGTTTTTCTAAATGCTTTAAAAATTTGCTTTTTTTAGAACGATTATAGAATGTAAAAAAAATTTTTAGTCGATTATGAAGTCAATTGTAATTTAATTATGATTTAAAATTAGAGGAATTTATCAGTTTTGGATAATCTGATTTGCTATTGATTGTATTTATTAAAATTTAAATGTTTAATTTACCGATTCATTTTTTTTATCAATAAAAAATCATATTTTAGTATTAGCAAGAAATTGAAGCCAGAGAAAGAGAAAATACGAAAACGGAAGCACTCTCCTTCACTATCGGACTCCGAAAGTGAAGAGGACTCTAAGAAAAAGAAGAAAATTAAGAAGAAGGTGAGTAAGGTTAATAAAGACTGCTTTGGGAAAATTATTTTAAAACTTACTAAGACTATAAATTTAATTTGTTTCGTGAAACAATCAGTCATGTGACCTTTCGTGCCGTGACGTCTCATTTCAATAAACATAAGAACTGGTTGCACTCGCAACAACGGCGTTAACTTTATTTTAGTCCGGCCGTTTAGATTCTTGTAATCCACAGATTATAAATCGCAAGTTAATATTTGCAATATAAAATATGCGTATTGTTTTTAAATAAGTTACCGTTTCCAACATATTTCATACATTATTGTCATAACTGTAAAGTAGCCAAATGGTCAAGTAGTACCAATGACTAGTCTGAGGCTGGTTTTAGTGTAACGCGGACCGTCCGCACTGACGTAGCTATCAGCGCGTACTCGCTTCAGTGTCGTGCTAATTGCTGCCGAGTACAGACATGGTCAATCCTATGAATGTTCAATTTGTTGCAGTGTATTATTTATGAAATAATAAAGATGTACATCCACTTTTGCTCAAGAATTGCTGAGTACATTTTCAACTCTGTTTCAACCAGTTGACACTGAAATAGAGTTGAAAGGGATGTTTTATCGTTTATTCTGTTTCAAAATTTCTTGTAGACATGCGATAGTAATTAATGGAATTAGACGTTATTAAATGGCAAAGTCTAGTGGTAAGTTACCACGATGCAGTAGGACTTGTTTCTGTTAGCTTTGTTTTTGTAGAGTTGATTGGATGCATTCACACTATTCTCCTGTGTTCATTACCATTCCACGTGAGTGTACACGCTGGTCTTCAGCGCTGAGTGGGCGGCGTAACTATAGAACGTTTGTATAGAGCCCATACACATTAACCTGTCAGCGCCGATTTCAGCGTGTTACTAAAGCCAGCCTAAATGCTTTTGATTAGTACGAATGTGACATCCTGTTCTAAACAGACGTTCTAAACTTGTCCGTCGATCTTATATTACTCATCAAAAATACATTAAAAATATGTTTATATTATTTCTACAGTTTTTTTGTAGAATTGGGAGTTTTTATTCGGGTTAAAATAAACGAATGAAATTACATATAAAGCACTGCTGTCGTTTGTAGCGATAAGCTCAAACCGTTTGAAATTACCTAACAAACAAATATAGAGGACATCAAACGTTTGATATTGCCGCGTGCGCTAGTCACGAACTCGCCCTGTACTTTCATTGCACACGCGTTTTGTATGTTATGCTATGCTATGTGTTAGATATTGTTTTTTATTATATTATAGAACTAGCTGTCTGCTTTAGTGGGATAAAATAAAAAGTATGTTAGTTCCGATTTAGAATTATCCGTATACCAAATTTCATCAAAATCCGTTTAGTAGTTTTTGCGTGAAGAAATATCAAACATACAAACATTCGCCGTTATAATATTAATAAGATACCGAGATATAATTATATTTCTATGATTACAAGTGATTGTGAAGCGACGCTGGAACAATTCAAATCAATTTTTAGTTTCTTTTTTGTTTAGTAAAATTGAGAGAGTGGTGTGGAAGAAATGGCACCATTGTTATAGTATTTTTATTGTTATATTTTATTTTCATTTATAGTTTCGAAGCCTATTCAATGCAAACATACAAACAATTAAATAAATCTTATAACATTAGTATAGATTAAAGTGATTATTTTTAATAAACAGTGATGGTTATCAATCACAGCTGGAGATGAACTGGTGTAAAAATAATGTATTTACGGTAAAAATACTGTTTATGTTTTAGCATGACATCAAAAAGACTAAATCGAAATTGGTTAAAAAGCGTCACGTCAGCAAAAAGATAAAGAAAAAGTTAAAAGAGAAGCAGAAAAGAAGGAAGAAGAAGAATATGTCAAAAATAGAGAAGATTTCCGACGATTCTGATAAAGAAGACAGTGGTAAATTTGCGGTCATTTTTTAATAATTGAAATATAATATGCTATAGTAAGATCGACTTATTTGTGCGCGCGGTGGTATGTGTTGGTAATCCTTGTACATATACAGTCACTTTATGTGTGTTTAGATTATTTCGTTTGAAAACAAGGTTATGGTGTCCTATTATGATTGATAATATGGATTCTTAAAAATAACTTAATTTGCTACTATAATATGTTATATTTTATCTTTCTACTAAAGTTAGTAATGTATGTAAATATTTGTCATTTATCGACTAAGAACTTCTACTTATTTTTAAATAAAGGTGGGCATCAGTATTCATTAGTGAGTATACCTTAGAAATAAAGCATTTTCATTGTGTGTTTTAATATAATAAAGAGATTTTCATTTTATAGAAAAGAAGAAGCAGAACAAATTGAAAAGGAAATCTCAAGCGAAGGTAAAGAAGGCGCAGAAAAAGAGAAAAATGAAACCAAAATCGTCGAGTTCATCGTCATCGTCGAGCGACAGTAGCGACAGCAGTTCTGATACCGAATCAGAAGTGGAAAGAAAGAAGATTAAGAAGAAAGAATTACAGCTGAAGAGGAAGAAGAAAGAAAAAAAGAAGAAACGCGATGTGTCCAACGATTCGACGCAAAGCGAAGATTTGTTCGACGTCAATGTTTTGAATAATATCAAAACTGAAAGATTGACTGATGATGAGAAGCATCAGCAGATGAATGACTTCTCTCCTAGAAGACAGAAGCGTAAAGAGAGAGAGATAATAAATGTGAAAGAGTTGCAAAATGATTTTGTTGGGAACAACATTCATATAAAACAAGAGAAAATTGATACTGTGACAGAAGCGACCAATACTGCTGTAGTCGAGACAATTGATAAAATTGAAATGAAAGATGAACAGAAGCCTTGTGAAACTTTAGTTGAAATTAAACCTAAAGAAACTGAAAATAAGGTATGTCTTTTTCTAGTAAAAATGTCTTAAACAATGTTATAAAAGAAATTCGTAATTAATACTGGCAATAATATTTTGTCATGAGATTTATTAGCATTAGTGGTTTCATTCACTTTAATATTTTACCTAAAAGAGGTACATTTTTATCTCTATTGTTTTTAGGAACAACTTCCTGCACCTCCGAAAGAAATTAAATCGCCAGAAATATCTCTTCTTCAAGAATCGCAGATACCTTTACCGGATGAATGTGAAAATTCAGTACAAACTGAACATGCTACTGTGAAAAAGTCAAAAATAATAGAACAAACTAATGTTCATCTCCCCGTCGAAACTAATATACCTTTGCCAGCTGATATAACAATACGCAGCATACCAGAGCCACCTCCGCAGGAAGTACAAGTAAAAGTCACAAAAGAAAAGGTGAAGCATATAGAAAATATTGCAACAGGGAAAAATATGGAAATAGAGAAACATATGGAAACGGGAATACATATGGAAATAGAGAAACATATTGAAACGGGGAAACATATGGAAAAGGGGAAACATATGGAAATTGAGAAACATATTGAAACAGGGAAACATATGGAATTGGGTAAACGTGTAGAAACAGAGAAGCATCTAGAAATTGGGAAACATGTAGAAGTTCAACTTCAAACAATGAGTTATAGCTATAACGACGTGAATGCAAGTCATAATGAACTCTATGGTAAAGGTATAGAGCCGGATAGTGATGATAAATTTGTCGATGGTTACGATCAGGAGAACTACGAGATGTATGAGCAAATGGCTATGGCGTATCAGAGCGATGTCGCCAAACAGGTTGGTTTTTATTTAATTTTTATCATTCGTCTTCACTGTAGGGACTAATATATGAATGGCCCAATGCGGATTGGAGGATAATAACGACTGCAAATGTAGCCGGGACCAACGGCTTATCGTGCCACAGAGTAGCTCGAGATAATAATTTTTGATCACCCATCCTGTGATCAACCTTCTCGAAAGTCGCTTAACAATAACGATCGCGGGCTGCGATGCTTATCCACTACGCCATCGAGCTACACTGAGCTACTTTTTACTTTTTTATTTATCCCTTTTCAATTTGTTTATTACTTTACTGTTTTATATTGTGACGTTACATCCTTGTCATTTATATTGTTACTATGTAGTCCACTTTAGAGCTGTAAAACTAAAAAAAAAAAGATTAGTATATTGGCAACACATCACCCATCTAGCTAGCAACATTTTTACGTTTTATTTCTAATAACTTTGATTAAAATAATGACAAATTGTCTAAAAGTGAACTAAAGTGAGTGAGAATAAGTTTGAATAAGAACCTGAAGTACCTAAATGGAATATGGATGGGGTCGGTAAACATATGAAATTCTCAGTAATGAATAGAAAAAATAATGATAACATTTTTTTGGTTACTAGGGAGTATCGAATGATCAGAGCGGTGAAGTTAAACGCATAGAGACAGTGGTTCGATACCGGCGTCGCGGCGAGATCAAGTGTGACTGGCGCGCCGGCGATAAGCCCGCCTCCTCCACTGAAGCGCCGCGCCCATCGCGATGGGGTCAGTGTTTATATAATAATATTCGTTTTTACATTTTTTAATTCCGATCTGTCACAATCGACCGATTGAAGATTAGCGATTTTAGTCGTACGCGTGTATTGAAACCTTGCCGTTGGATGCATTGTGCATCAATTAGTTTATAGTGCTATAAATTGTGAATTAAATAAAAATTAAATATAATGAAATATATCTTTAATGTTATTCAATGGTAATATTTACATAATATCGATCAATTATCGACATTAAAGGCAACACATTATGGTTCCCATCACTACGGACTACGTGTCTTTGTACTAGCCAATAGCGTTGCTTCGGTTACCTCTACACCGCTAAGATTGATATTTTTATTTATTTAACAAAATATTCATGCAGTATCTATTGGAGGTTATCTGTGGGTGGATCAGGCTTCATGACCTTCCGCTGAGTCTTGCTGAAAGGACCATTCTTGGTTATTAAACATGGTGATGGTGGAACATTTCATTTTTATGTTTTGAACAAATATGGCTCGGTCGCTTCTTCATAGCGAAGTCGTATAAATCCCATGTTGTACTTTGTTGACTAATCGTGAAGTTTCTTTTAGAGAGAGTCATGGCCTCTTTAACCATCTATAAGGAAGGTCTGAACCCCTGCAATGGGGACGTAAAGGGGCTGATGATGGTGTTATTTTGTTTCCAGGTTTGAAACCCGGCGAGGTAAACATAGTATTGACGGGAGGGCCGAATGTGGAACCCGCTACTGTCCCTGCTGCTTCTACTGCCACTGAACAGTATCCGATCAGAAGTGTATTAGAGCCCGTGTATAAAATACAGAGCTTGGCGAACAGACATGACACTTCTAATAATTCTATTGAGTGAGTCTGTTGTTAAAACTTAATAGTAATAAGTGTTGATGATCGAGTTAGCTACCAACTTCATGGGTTAGCTGTCATTTTAGCACTGACAGCAAAAAAATAAAGGTTGCTGAATATTTATTTGATTCCTCGTTTAATTTTATACATTATTTATTATATTATGTTTCATTTTAAGAAATAAAGACAGACAAAGAGATCAATTCAGAATCTTTATTTTATTAATTTTTGGCATAGTTATCTAAGGCATTAATTCCGGCTTTGTACGATTGTGTATAAAGTATAAAATAAATAAATCCGTGTCAATAGTGGCAATGAATCTAATAATTTTATATATGTAACAAATTAAACGAATCGTAAAAAATATTCTGCGGACTTTGTTTTCTTTGCTGTCTGTACACAATTACATGCTATGCCATGAGGTTGGTAACCTAAGCCGATTTTATTTGGCTCGCATAGTAAGTAGGCATATAACGATAATAATACATATGTCTGTTAGTTACGACGAGGCGTATCAAGTAACATACGGGGCGTCTGATCGGCTGCAGTACGGAGATTGCTTCGCGGAGTCGCCCCCCACCGCCCCGCCCCCCTCTACACTAGACGAGAGGATCGATCGCGCCCTCAGGGAAACTGGTACCTATTCACATTTCATTAGTATCACAGTGAAAAAATATACTTTTAGACGACGCCTTCGTTTTTTTAAAGACAAGGGATTTCCAAACTATTTGTTGGCGAGAGACCCCTTTTCGAAACTAACGATATTACTTTCAAAATCTTGTTCCAATTTTTTTTCCCTATCGATATCAAATCGAAATTCATTTAGGTGTTCGAATTCATTTCGAAAAGCAACATCCGCTCAACCTTGAATTGGTAATAACGTTTCGTGGCATAGGTGAAGTGAGTTTCGAAGTGACATAGGAATAGCACATCTGAGACACGTATAATCAATTTTGTTTTGTATTATTATAGAAAAAATGGAATCAACAGAATTTTATTACTAAATGACGTAAATTCGGACACGAGTGAATTCGAATTCAGGTTGGGATTTTTCACAGAGTCGCTTTGCTGATTTAAATGTCCATTACCTGGTACCAGGTACCCCAAACCTGGGTATATATATAACTGGTGAATTCTAAGCATTTCTCATTAAATATATTTAACAATATCAACATTGTAGTATTCTGAATAGTAGCATTTTGAATGCAAATTTTATCAATATATTTTTTCAGTCCTCGGTCATGTGGCTAAAGAAACCGATGATGTCGAAGACGACAAAGATGTACCAGAAAAAGGGATCCTAGTTACGTAAGTAACAAGATATTTTACGTTTTATTGACTGTAGTTCGAAAGACTTTAAGTCTTCTCATTTGTAGCAGTATGTCCCGGCAATATCTGCACTCGTTAATACCCATTATTCCGCATTGGGCCCGCGTGGACTTTCTATATAATACACTATGTAATTCAAAGAGAACACTGCATTGGTACCGCTTGATTGGTAATCACTCGTACTGTTTATGTACTCCATAGAGAAGTAATTAAGTAGTCTATAGAGAGCACTTCTGCATTGGGACCGCGTGATGAGTAAACCCGTACACTATATAATATTATAATCCATAGAGACGACTTCCGCACTGGACCCATGTGGTGGATATAGCCCGTACTTTTGACTATTCCATCTATTTGTGCCTCATACAAATTTCAGTTTTGCAATATAACTATTATTGAAAATGCTTTTTGGTGAATTATTTTAATCGTTTAAACGGTAAAAACAACTGAAGGGTTTTAGTGGAAGTTGATGTGACTGTTAATTATATTGTTTTCTGGTTATTATTATATATTCGTTTCTGGTTAGTAAATCCCTGGCGGAGGTGAATCGTGGCGCAAAACGCGTCAGTTTCGCGGACGGATATAAACCAGGACAGGACTCTGATGTGGAAGAACCGCCTGTTAACAGGGTGAGTATATTGTATTTCATACAGGCTTATTTTATAAAATACTAACTTTCGTTCAGCGGCTTAGCCCGCTTGGTCCTGTATTATACTTATAGAATCCCCTCTAATGACTGTATTTTAATGAAAATCGCATTAAAATTCGTAAAATTGAGGTGTGGCCTCCCTATGTAGCTTTGTAGCAAATAGAATAGAATTTTTATTTGGCAACACACATCACATACACAATTTATATACAGTTTACAAATATGACAGAAAAATTACAAGAAATAACAACAAAAATGAAAAAAAAAAACATGGTAAGTACATTGAGATACAATTAATAATTAATGTGTCATGGTGTGTGTTGCCAAGCTGGCCTGAGCTTAGTATAAAGTGTGACGTCTTGTGACATTTTAACTCAATGTATCGTCGTAATTTATCGATCATGATATAAAAATAAGTGTTTGATATTCTTCAATAATTTATGTAATAGACAGACAAAAAAACTTAGCCATCATCCCGTTTCGTACAGAAGAAGAAGTCCCGCCGCTACGGTTGCGCGTGGCCGTGTCCCGCGTCCCACCCGGACCACGTGCCGCTGTGGGACGCGCTGCCGCCCCCTCCCCCGCCCGCCACGCCGCCCCCCGCCCCCACCGTGCCCGCCCCCGGCCCCACACTCGCCCTCACTGTCTCACGCCCCCCGCTGCTGCACACCCCCGCGCCCCCCGTGCCCCGAATGCCGATGCTGAGGCATCCGGTGCATCTCCAACCCGGTGAGTACGATTAAAGTTGGGAGCAACAAAAATCAATAGCGTAGTTTCGATGGTGAAAAATAAGTCACAAAATTAAAGTTTACATGAATATTACGATTTCGATTGATCGATCGAGTCATAAAGTCGCATTTATCGGTCTTTCATTTGTTTATAGTGTGACGTCTTATCGGTAGATTTTTTTATTATTATTTTGTAATAATAATAAAAACTTATTGACACATAAATATGAAACAAGACAATGTGAAGGGTAGCAAGATCGTTACTACAGCACTGTTCTTGTCTGATTGAAATCTGTTAAATAATATATTTGATATATCAAAAAATGTTTTCAAATCTGTCCAGTATGGAACACGAAAGTTAAAAGTTTAAAGTTAAAAAAAATGTTCATAATAACCTAAATTAGTAGGAGAAAATATATTTTGATACTTTAAATTCGTTAATGGAATTTCATTATTACGTTATATGCACATTTTCAGCTCAGTATTGACTTTTTGAAATAAATTAAACTAATTTGATAGTGTATATTTCTTTGATGTAAATCGATTTTATGCTTAATATAAGTAAATTTATTTAATTACCTTCTAATTTGTATGTGGAGTATTATTATTAATACAAATTCTTATTTATATAATGTTTCAGATCCAAACATGACGATGAGGCCTTTCATGCCCCCAGAACCTCCTCCTGGTCTCATCACTTTTCAATAATTTTTACGTCACTAGGTACTAAATCCTAATTAATTATTTCTTACCCAAACAATTGTTTGACATTTCTCGAGTATTAAGTTTAAAGTGATACTTTATTGTAAGGAAAGATTTAATTATGTAAATATACTTCTCATAATTAAAATAGCTTTTTTATTTGATTAATTTTGCATTAAAAAAATGCCAAAAAAATCCACTTTGCCCCTGGTTCTCTAAAATGGGATTCGAACCCCCAATATTCGCAATTCGGGCGATTGCTTTACCCACTGAGGAGTGACGTATTATTCGAGCAAATTTTACTATATTTTTAATATTGTTATATATTTTCGATGAAGATAAAAAATTGTTCTGATTATCATATTTAATCAACTTAATAACTTGAATATATGTAGGTATATTGAACAATATTAAGAAAGGCTTTTACTTAAAAAAAAAAAACATAACAATGAATCAAAATTTACTAAATGCATGTCCGTTTAGCTAGCGGTTTACTAGAGGTCTGTGTATCAGTACAACGGTTCTACATTAGAAACATTACACAAGCTCATAGCGAGTACAGATGGACATGTCAGCAGACATGCCCGCCGGCATGTCCGTCTAATGAACTGCCCGCGTTAGTGTAGAATTTTCAACTTTACTTATTGATATCTCAAAGTAAATTTTTGAAATACTTCGCAGCTTGCGCTGCCCCGATTCTAAGACTTTTCAAATCAGAGCAGAAAAGTAACAGTGCCTTCCTTCCCCCGAGGGCCCGCTTCGTGAGGCACGATATTATGTTATCATATTTTTAGTGTGTGATTTTTTTTTCATTTATGGACTTTGAAAACATGTCCATCCCTTTGTAACCAAATGCCCACTGGCGACCGAAGTAAGCGCCCCCATTTACCCTATCGGGCTCTGAGTTTTTAGCAGTACGTGATAAAATGTTACCATTTTCTGGGTACTACAAAATAAAACACAGTTTTAAAAACAATAAAATAGATTTCATTTATTGTGAGACGAAAAATACAACAATGGGACTTATTACCTAAAATGGTTAGTGGCAGACTGTCGTGTCAAAACAATTTATTGTTAGGTAAGGTCGCGCGTCACCACGCAACATTAAATTACAGTATAGACTCCTAATTTATGTCTTTCATTGGGGAACTCGTGGTAACGAATATCAACGAAAAAAAAATTAATAATAATAGTAAATATACACAAAACGATACCATGACCTCTCTATTCACTGAAATCATAACTAATTTTTATTATTTATTTAAACATGTGAAGTTTCAATAGTTCCATTTTTTAACTAATTTTTTTTAAAAAGGCTTTATTGATTCGAAGCTAATACTTAATTACTTACAAGATTGTTTAATAGTTTTTTTTTTTAATAGTTGTTGCGCCACTAATCGTCCGTCCGCCGCCGTCCGCCATTGTTATGGCGCGGCGGTGCTCGGAGCGGCGCGCTACGAAAAGAGCCTCACAAATAAAACGTAACAACTTCTCAATACCGCTACTATGAAACGTTCTATACAAAATTGAACATTGCCGATTCGCTAAATCGTTTCTGATTCAATTTATTCACTAAAAACATGTGGGCGGCGAGCGGTACGGCCCGCTCTGGTGCGACTCCGGTTTCGACTCGTCACTAAATTGATAAAGTACATGTCTTACGTTATAAGTTGAAAATGCCACTGCTGCGATCCTACCTCGCCTATATCGGTGCCGGCGCGCGCGCATCGCGTGCAAATTGGCGAGCACGCTCGCGAGCATGTGCGCGCTCACATTAACTACTCACTGTCGTACGTAGGACGCACGCTCGCGAACGTTCGCACTATAGTAACACGACGGTGCGCGCTCGCCCGTGCTCGCTATTGCTCATAGAGAAAAAATTCCGAAATCAATTCGATACACCGTAGACTATATCTTGTTTAATAAACTTGAAGTAAGTATTTATCAATAATCAATAAGTACATTATAATAATTGAATAATTAGTATTTTGTTTTCATAAGAGACTAGCATTACAAATAAATACCTTCAGCTATACAATTTAATGTTTATTTCTATTTTTAAACATTTTGAAGATGTTTAAAGTGGACTACCTCGGTTTTTACACAAGAATTCAGTTTCACGGTTCTTGTATAGAAACTTTTCAGTTGATGCGTCTACGCTTCGAGATATGACTTAAATGTATACTTAGATTTAGGGGGAAAAGGTCGTAAAAACAAAAAAAAAGTTATTGAAATTTATAACAAACACCTTAAGTAATACTTCAATAATTTAGTTGTAGTGTGTGTGTGCGTGGGCGGGAGGCCGCGCTGGCCAGATAATATCACTCGGCGTACGTACAAACGATGATGCTGCGCTACAAATGAAATAACTTTATACAAAAGATGAGACGAGGCAGCCGCGCGCGCGCCTCCCTCCCACCGCCACCCCCACACAACACGTGTCTTCGACAAAAGCAATATAAAACATTTCATTCCGTGTAAGAGATGACACGATGGTATGCGAAAATTTTATTTTTTTTCAAAAAACACACGCCCATTCGCTCATCCTTGCGCTTAAATCTAAAATTAATAATTAGACAATATTTTTTTTATTTGTTCAACAGACGCGCGCGTTACGACGCGCGTATAATAATAAAATATTTTCAAAACAATCGAATAATTAAACACACTAGTTAACAATATAACTCATGCTCAGATGCGCCGGCGCAAGCGTCGGTGCCACACGACCGGGCGCACCGAAATCAAATACGAAACTCGATCATCCTCGTTACATCAAAAATATTGATTCTATACACGATCGTCGGAGCGATGGCAGCTGAACGGTTCGAGTGTGTCCGTGCGGCCCTTAATACTGTTAATCGCTAAATTATTGCATATGTGCGGGGCGGGGTGTTTGTTAGGGCGGGAGGGGGGGCGTTACACGGCCGTCTCCGTGTGGCTGTGGCTGGAGAGTCGCTCGACGTCGATGTCGTGTGGCGCTAGTGTGTCGCGCGCCGCGTCCGCGTACTCGATGCTGGACGAGTGAGAGAACCGCTTCGAGAGCGCCGTCTGCTTCCGAAGCGCCTCCGCGAGCGCCGCGTCAGCCAGCGAGCCGCGCGAGTCCAGCCCCTGCCGGAACGCGTTCACCACGCGGATCTGCGCCACGCACACATTAGCTCCACCACTGTCCATCCACCCACACAACGCTCGTGTCGCTCTCACTCGCTCACATTATACCATGAAAATAGAATAGGTTCAAAGATTACCTACATTAACTACATCCAGCGTCCTGTGGCTTATCTTAATTAAAATTCGTATCATTAGTTATACACTCTAAAACGCGTTTTATAACTGCTCAAGTGTATTTTCTATTTTCAAAGTACGCCTACTATAAGAGATACACTTATCAGCTTTGCTATTCTGTGAAAATACAGAAACGAACAGAGCGCTGTAAGCTGTCAGAGCTTCGATCAAATAAAGAAGTTTTATGTTAAATGATAGATAATAAAGGATTTATTTCATTGAAGCTCTGATGCTGTTACAACCCTGTGTTTCAGGGTGTATTTTCACACAATAGCACTGCTTTCATTTACTCGAAGGACCATTATTGCAAACTAAAAGGACAGTCTATATTGTTAACAGTATTTTTCAGGGGGAGAGAGAGAATACTAGATATATCTATATTTTACAAAGAATACTAATTAGTGAGAAAATTAGTGAGTCAAGAGCGACACGAACGCTGCGCGTCGCCGTCACGCCACGTGTGACATTGGGGCGGAAGGCGACAGACATTAGTGATATAATCGTTCGTAAACATAAAGCACACCGAGCCATAGAAAGTAGGCGAGAAAGCGTTAGGTAATTCAAAATTCCAGTCACAGATGTTGATCCGTGTCGCGGAGTCGCCGCGAGCTCATGCCATGCAGTGATCGTGAGGAGTACAGAATGGGTACCACGCATCGCTCTCGTCCGCCTCTGAATACAGACCCCGAGGTCTAGTGCCGTGCATGCATCGTCTGTGACTGCATTTGGACCTCCTATGTGGCTACGCGAGAAGCTCTATGCCGTATGTTACACAGACTATGCACATGAACGAAGCAACATCGAAATCCCACCCATTCGCATCCGAGTACGAACCGACCCGATCTGTAGTAAGCGTATATCTAGCCTATGATTATAGAGAAATATTTATAAAATCTAAAAGCTATATCTTGCGTCAAATGCTTCTAAATTTATTATTCTGAAATGAGTCCAAAAGCGAGACCATTACGAATCCCTGGCGTTTAGTGATGCTACTAATTCTAATCGATGTCAATGTAGTTGGAACCCCCACGAATTGATATTTAGGTGCGTTATGTGAGGCAAAATATAAATACGAAGAACTATGATAAGTACATGATGCCAACTTAAAATAAACTTCAATATAGAAACCTAGTTTTGGCTATTAACGCGGTATGATGGATATAAATAAGCAATTTTTACAATTTATTCGCTTGAGATGTTCACATTTTAATACATAACGTACCATGTCTAAGCTGTACAATGAATCCGAGAAATAGAGAAAAAAACCACAACTTCAACACAACGTTGAAATAAGAACTTTAAATAGTTGCATATAATTATTAATTCAAAAGTATTCAAAGTTGCATGAAGTTGATTAAAAGTCATAGAATATTTAATATATAAAAAAAAAAATCTTATGAATAACAGCGCATGCGTCAGGGTACATGCACAATGGATGATAAATGCATGCAATAAACTGACCCACATAATTTTATGTCATTTTAACCTTTATCATTATCATGTTTCAACTTTTATGTTTTACATTCACTACATATATAGTTAAAATGAATATAAAACCAAAGAGGTCAGTACATAGAAAAGGCCAATGGGAGAACAGTTGTGAACGGACAAAGTTGTAGGTAGATAGTATTAATAGTGGAACGTAGAAAAAAACAAAAGATAAAAACAAAAAGGTCAACATAAAAAATAGACGAGACGTATGAGTGAAACAGCAGGCTTCCGGCATATATTGTGTCAATTCTTACAGCTTGATCGGTAGATGTCTTGCTGTAGGGCACCGGTATCAAGCGTTCTTGTAACTCGCCACCTATGACCTTCCGGGTGCAATGGGTATCATGGAAAAGAAAATAAAAACGAGAACATGAAGTAAAGAGTCACGTCACGAGAAGAGGACGGCGCGCCGGCGGCGGGCTGCCACGGAAACAGGTACTATACATAGATAACGTAGAGCAGCAGTGATTGGTCGAACACTATTCTAACGTTAACAAAAAAATTACACCGGGGCCCGACTATGAAATCTCAATAGCGATGCAATAGCAACTGTTATAACGAGACACGACTATGAATTTGTATAGCGCTATCTCGCTTCCATAACTGCGCTTGCATCGTATTAAAAAGCTCATCATTGCTAAAATAATTTCTGCAAAAGTTGCTGAGGTTAAAAATAATTATTAACTTTAATAAAAAAAAAATGCTTAAAAACCACTAGCGCCACGTACCCCGAGATAGTACTCGAATCCACAACCTTTCACGGTTCGGGTGACAGTCTGCCAGCCAATTTCAAAGGTTGCGGGTTCGTGTCCCTCCATAGGGTGTCTGGGGCCGGTGGAGTCTTTAAGTATTTTTCATGTCAATGCAAATTTATCAAATATAATAATAATTATTAGTAGAAAATAAATTGTGATGTTCTATTACTTTTTCTCTGTATTGTTCTATTAATTTTCAGAATAGCGTTCGACACTGCAGCTAGTGAAGGCATTTTCACAAAGTGTTGGTAATAATATCAGAAGGTACGGAAAGTTCTTTAGGGACTGACGAAGCAGTGCCTCAAAAGCGATGAACAGTTTGTAGGAGATAGATATAAAACAGAACAATGTACAGAGTAGGAAAACATAATAGAGAGCGGGGTCCATCTTAGTACCTTAAGAAGCACATTCATGGGGTGTGCACTTAAAACTACATATTTTTACATATCCTTTTTAACCATTAATTATCCATCCAGGGCTCCGTTTAGTTTGTAAAGTAAAATACCAAAAAATAAAATAATAACATTATTTCAACATATAACGATGTTTACAAGAACATTTATCGTTGCGTCTCCACGAAGCTTTATAACATATATATTTTCATGTGTTTTTGTGTGACTGTGTGGATTGTAGGAAACGGCACTGTGTATATGTTCAGTTTGTTGTATCCATGCCACTAATCTTTCTAATAAAAGCACATATAATTAATTCGACGTAGTCGCTCACATACCAGATCTATATCGATGATAATTTATATGCGGATTCTCTAATCTACATTCTATATTTACACAAGCAATATGTTTTATGTTTAACACACATGAGTTCTTAATGATAATATATTTATTATATCTTGTCTTAATCGCTCGATATTGGTGTAGCACTATTAACAACCCAATACAGCATGGAAGATTCTATAGCTACTGCTGTTAATTAATAAAAAAGTACCTTCAGTGCATACACAGTAGGTCGGTAATCGTCTGCCTATGCACTGAAGTTAAGTTTTAATAGAACTAAGTGACACCTACAGTTCTACAACAAAATGAGCGTGTAAGCGCTAAGCTACTAACATCCAACTAGACCGCACGACATACAATGCCCATGTTGGTCACGGGCCGCCAACAACAAACATTTGGACCAACATCGATACAACATTCTTTGGGCCAGTTACCTTATAAATGCAGAACTCCGGCACGTGGCATAGTTGGGTGAAATGAAATTTACTTTGGAGTATAGATACTTTATTACTAAAGTTCAATAAAGAGACAAGCGTTTAGAAGTGACGAGTTAATAGACAGTATCAGTTTAAGGTAGCAGGAAATCAAGCTTAGCTATTGTATAAACTTAGTGATTCTCCTATGAGGCGTGTGGTTATCACTATAAGCGTAATTATTAGATTTTTAAAAAATCATTGGTTTTTTTATACAACTAATGTAAAGACATTACTTTTTTAATTAAATTATTTTATATTATGTATATTTTAATATAATATACTATATCTAAGTTTTAACACTCATGTAGCAGGCAATTATTTAAAGGTTTACACTACACGATGTGCATTTAACGATTTTTAAGATTGTACATGTAAATGAGATCACTAAATATTCCACAGAACATATTTTGAAAGATAATTAAATTTGCTTGAGATCCGATGCTTTTTTAAAAAGTGAAAATTAAACGAGAAAAAGAAAAGGAGTAATTAGAAATAGAAAAAAGTTTGGAAGACCAGGAGTAGGTATAGTTGCGTGATGAAGTGTGTTAACGTGAAAACGAGTGTTTTAATAATGGCAGGATATTTTTTTAAATGTAAAATTATAAACTATTTTAATGACATTTAGAAACAGCACCATTGTCTTTGTAAAAGGAGATCGTGATACAATTAAAAACACAAGTCTTTATTATCCATAAAATTAAGTTTCTTTTGTGTCTTTAACTGCAAACTTCTGTCAAATATACCATTACTAAAACACCAGTCTATAGAGTAGTATATAAGTAGTAGTATACAGATAGACCAATAGAGTAATATACTGGTAGGCTGATAGAGTAGTATAATTTTTTTTATATAATAATTATTTTCTTCAGATCACATGCATCCTGTTTCATCGTAATATAACTTTAAAAAGGTACAATTTATTGCTAAAATTTTAATAGCATTCGATGTTTGCGAGCAGCTATATACTATAATGCTATATAGATTGTTTCTATTAAAACAAAATCTTTATAAAAGAAATAATATTAAAAGATATTTAGCGCAGCAAATTGTGTTTAATAGACGAGGTTTAACACACACACATATGACCAACTACAGAAAAAAAAAGACATTCAGCTTTCTATATTAATAATAAAATATCTAAACATTAAAACATTATCATGTCACCATGACACCACAATATCTAAAAAATGCATTCTTTCTCATACCAAAAACAAAATAATAAACAAATAACAAGCAAATTTAAATATCATCCTATAAATAACGTTTATAAAAGCACTTTAGTAGCACAAATTGTGAGTTTGTTTTTATATAAAAATGGCACATGGATTAATATAACATGTTATATAATTATATATATTTTTTATTTTTTCAATTAATTATAGTTTATTTTAGTATATATTAATAGTAAAACGATGAGAGTATTTGACAGTAGTATGTATTTACAGAAAGTAATTTTTTGAGAATATTCTTTATTAAAAATAAATACTTCATAAAATTTTCGTTTCACAATAATTATATATTATATCGTATTATAAAACGAATAAGTTAGAGATTTATCAAACTCTGTCTAAATTATAGTGCACCATAGTTACATATAAATCTATTCAATATACTTTGCGAATATTCTAATATTTCGCTTAGTCTAATATTTTTAGTAAACATTTATCGATATCTTACTACTAACGCATTTACATGTTAAGAGAAAAATGTTTTAAAATGCCTTTAATTTTAAACCTTTTAAGAATCCACGGCGTTTACTTTAGAATATCATAATTTTGTTTAAATTTATATAAATATTGTTTAAATGGCAGTAATATCTTATTTTTCAGATCTAGTCGTAATAAATTTTGGTGGGTTTTGTACAATGATAAATTTTTAGGTGATATTTATATCCAAAATTTATTACTTGGTGTTTTTTTTATGTTTTGTATGTTGTAGTTTTTTTTAGTTTTTGGTTTATTTTTTATTCAATGCTCTGATGGGATACGGGGCTGAGTGCCGGCAGGGAGCTTCCGCCGGATTGCACGCTGATCCTTCGGTGCTCCGCCAAATAATTATTGACAAATATCCTGCGGCCGGCCAATATATCCGCCTTTTGCTGCAAACAACACCACGGACGTGTCAGTCTACCCGCCCGTGCTACGCCAACAAAACTGCTTTGTCACCAATCAACAAACTAGTGGCATTCCAAAACCAAATAATTATAATACATTTAATTGCCTTGCATTTCAAACTTTTTTTTAATCAATTTGGCTTTAGAATCTCATAATCTACAAGAAAGAGGAACTGTAAAGACTAAGAAATTTTAAGAAAGCAGTTTCGTTAGTTATGGTAAGTGCCTAACTGTACTAAATATAGGGGGCATTCACACTAGCTGGGTCGGGGCAATCGAGGGCATCCAGTAGCAGTTACTATATATAAAAAAAGGAATAGATATCAAATTCGTGTCGGAAGCTACTACTACGCAGAAAATATTTAAAAAAAAAATAACCATCCGGTATGTGAGCAACTTCGCGGTTGCATTTGCATTTTATCAGTCCGTTGACACGCTGAGGTACAAAAATAAAATATCCGTATCCTTTAAATAAATACTTTTATTATTATATGAGTTTTTTAATATTAAAATGGATTTTATGGTGGTGGTTAAGTATGTATTTTTTAACAATATAATTGTTACATAAAAATTAAAAAATAAATTATGAAACCAAGTTATTAAATAAGTACATACACAACCGAGTTAATGATTAACAAAAGTCAAACATAAAACTAAATAGCCTTCTTTATTTTCATAATGGATATGGTTACTTATTTTACTAATTTTGGTGTAATTGTGGAGATTATGTATATTCGACTTTTTAGATCTTATATATTTTTTTACTGCTTACATACTATTGTGTTAGAAGTTTGGTAAGTTAATGTATATTATATCGAGAATATAATTTATTATGAGTGAAAAAAAAAACTTAAATAAAATTCGGATATAAAACCCATCAATGAGACTCCGATATAACGAGAACTAACGTAACTAATTATAAAAAAAAATCATATCAGTTACGAGAATCACTACCAAACATCTAGTATTTAAAAAATAAAAAAAGAAAATAAAAATACAAATTGTGCATACTCACAGACACTTGTACCTATACATGCATAACACTGTAACATAAGCATGATCACACTATAAATGCGAAGCACATAAGTAAAAATCAACATAGTAAACAACAATTTGTACCAAAAATATATATAATAATAATTAAAAAATGTACATTTTACAATATATATACTCGAACCTAAAAACTACAGAGCGGCCATTTCGTTTGCGCGAGAAACAAGATGGCGGCTCGCGATGCTCTTACCT